ATACATCAGGTAAGACAGAGCGGGTTAGTTCTCTTGACTTCGCAAAAATGAGTCCCATCTCTGATGATATTCGTCATCAGCTTAGTCCATTTTTACTTGAAGAGAAGAAGGATATCTCCTGACTACGTTAGCCTGAACATCGTTTTAAATCCAAATGGTTGCAGTACAAAAGTAATAGGCCGTCGTCTTCTGGTGAGATTGACTCACAAATATCGTCAGCATGCACTTTCATACTAAATGAGAATGTTCACAACAATTTAATCTCATGAAATTCATCAAAACCCGCTTTTTATTTGTACATACAATGCCAATCATATTGCTTTGGCAAGCTTTTCTAGCCAGGTCACAAACAATGCCTTTTTCTCGAGTTATTCCAGATTGAGTTTTGCTTGTCACGTAGTTGAAAAATAATATAAGTGACGATAAAAACCATTTCTATTGCATTCAAGAGATTCAAAGATAACATATTCGTCCTTTTCTGCTATTCTTTCCAAAGGCTCGACTTGCCAATGCGTCCATTCCACAGCTCTTTTTCATATTATAACAATTAGCAATTCGCTCCATGTTGACAGGCAAGTATAATACAGCAACACAAGTCTGATTTTGGTTAACCTCGCAGGCAAATGGATGGACAAACTGGGAGAAATACGAAACTGCTGTTCAAGTGTGGAGCTTAATAAAAGCCAAACAAGCATCATTTTGGTTGTATATAGCCCTAGCAATTAAAAGAATCAGAGTTACTGTTTGACGGGTATAGATGGGCAGTGCCCCTTTGATTTTATCCTAACTGTGAACTTTCAGGGCAGTGGCAATCATGATTGTCTTGACAAGATTATCGTTAATAATAAAAAAATAGTATTAGTACTAGTAATGATTATGATAAAAGGAAGATAATTCTGCCAAACTTTCAAGGTTCACCTACAATTGTTTGGGTTTACTTCATCTCTTTTTAGATGTGAATAGTTTTCAAGACTATGAGTAATTATTCATTACGATACTCGAGAACATGTACCTGACCTGACTGAGGGTGTCTATCGGACTTTGGCGAGGTCGAAATTAAAAG